CTCTTCTCTGTGAAACCACCTCATTCCACATCTCAGAGTTGTACCAAGGAAGTGTTTCTTTCTTCTGGCATTTGCACGAAGATATCAGCCAGGAGGACATAATCAAAAGCCCTAAGCCAACTGTGGTGGGTCTTGCACTGAGTCAACATAGTGTGATAATGGTGGCTTGTACTAACAAACCAAGATTAAGCAAGCAGTGATTCGATCTGCAGAGAAAATAGCAAAGCAAGTTATTCCACTTCCCCCAAGTTTTCAGTTGTTCTTTCTCACTTGATGTTCCAGCACTACTGTGCTCAGTGAGTCCTCGTTTATCGATTCTAAATAATTTTGAATCTGTCTTTCTACTTGAGAAGTGCTCAGAACAGCCAGCTCAAATATTGGAAGACAAAATTTAGAAAGACAGAAAGTTGAGCCCAAGATGATTGAGAACTCTCCTATAGGGATAGCTCTACCATGGAATTTCGATCCATAACTTGGTTATACTTTGCAAAAGATACGCCATGCTTTTTCACATTCTTGGGGTCCTCTTTTTCCTTTAATTTCTGCAGAATTTGGGATTGCTCCCCTCCCGCCTGCCATTTGCACCATTTTTTTCCAGTCCTGTTGGTGCTGAATTTCTGATCAGAAGTGATAAGATTTTTTTGTATAGAGAAAAGGGTTCCTGACTCCAGTTGAACATTCCTGAAATTCTGGTCTCTCCCAACCAAGGCGAATTAGTAGGACACAGAAGATCTTCTTGGTTAGGGTTAGGAGGATAGCTGTCAGTTTTACAAGGGAATACGTCCTCTTGTAATAGAAGTTGTAGATGTATCAACTCTCAGTAGCTATGACTCCCAAATGGATGTTTGAAATGTATTGTGTTGAAAGATAGGTGTCACACATGGGTGTAGAACATCAGGGAAATGGCCATTCTTTCCTTGTCTTGTTCATGAACGTCTGAGGAATCTCCAGCAATCTTCTGGCCACTGGTAGACCAGCAGGTGGTGGGCTTAGTTGGACTTTGCTGCCATATTTCTCTTTTCCTACCAAAGATTCCACTTTCCTTGAGTTTTGCTCTGGGGTCCATGGTGATGTCATTGCCCAGATCCTCTTGGTGTGCAAGTGGGAAGCAAATTCTCCCCTCCCCTCTGCTAAGCTCAAATTTCTCTTGCCCATCTTGTCCACTGCTTTCGGGGAGAGGACCGGGTGCTGGGACAGGACGGAGCCATTCTTCTGGGTTTGGTTAACGGCAGTGACATTGCACTTTCTCATACCGGTTGAGGGAAATTGATCTGCATGGTTTAAATAATTAAGTTGCTGTCCCACCACTTTGTCGTCCTTGCTTTCTCCCATCTGTTCTCGGTGTCTGTTTGATGGGATAAATGCTTGGGTTGGACATCAGCCAGCAACCTTTCTAAGTGGAGTCTTATCCAGTGATTTCAGCAAGCTGGTCATTCTGAAGAGGAAGCACATTAGACTTTTTGTCATCCCTGCATTAGATGTGTCCCCCTAAGAAGGACCCATCTTTCGTTTCTCATAGAGGCCAGTCAATGTTCTGAGCTAGGTTGCTCTTGATGGAGCAGTGATGCCTTTCTCTGTTTGTTTATTTTAAAAAGCAAGGGAGCTCTTCCCCTGTTGGAAGGAAGTCTACCAGATCTGGACTGCAAAACTCTAAACCACCACCAGGTGGACGTAGTATAAGAAGTTCCTGCAACTCTTGACTACCACCTGTGGTCAGCTGGAGGGTTGCATCCTAAATCTTTTGGCCCAATGGGAAGTTTTTGAATGGAAACTGGATCCAGCCTCTCCTTGCTTGTTTTCTTGCAGACGTTTCGTTACCCGTCTAGGTAACATCTTCAGTGCTAGAAGGGAGTGGGGTTTGCTCTCTGTTTATATACAGAAGCTTGCCCTGTCAGTGTTGGTGGGGGAGTTGTTTTTTCTTGGGAGTTCCTAGATTAGGCTGTTGTTTCCTGCTTGATTGTTTGTCTGAGTTGGTACTGATAGGGCAAGCTACTAGATATAAACAGGCAGAAAACTCCACACTCCCTCGCAATGATTAAGTGACCTAGTTGGGTAATGCAACGTCTCCAAGAAAACAACCAAGCTCAGAGAACCCCAAGAATTCCGCAGTTTAACCCAGAGCTACAGATATTCTCTTCTGTTGGGACCATCATATTTCTTCGAGGGGACATTCTTGAGGAAGGGAATTCCCAAAACAGAAAAGAAAAGTTGGCTTCAAAATTAAGCTCAGCACCAATGAAGCTTAGCAAGCAAGCAGACAGTTGCGTGACTTGGTATGTCACTGAATGCAGATGATTGTAGTTAGGAAACCAACATGTAATATATACGAACCCCACCTTGATCAACTTTATTAATAACCGGGACAGGCGACTCCTTAAATTTCTGGGCCTGTGGCTCATTTGGGCAGCCCTGGGCTTTAAAGAGTGAGGACTAGCACCTTGAACTGTACCCAGAAGGCAGATGTTGCCTGTGGGAGGGTATATGCAGACTGCAAAGCCAGAAAGCTTAGCCTCATGGCTGGTTTGGGGCAAAACAATAATCCAAATTTATGCAGACAGTACTGAAACTTAATTAGCAGTCCATGGCTATTCGTGATCCTTAAAGGTGGTCTTAAGTTCAAGGCAGTTTTGAGTTTGGGCCTCTGCAGCTTGCAAGGAAGCCCCCCACCCCTTACCAAGTAGAATACGTTGAATAATAGACAGCGTCATTCATTTTTGTTTTTTTCTGAGCATTTCCCTCCTTCTCCCCCCTCCCCACTTTGAAAGAAATGGGTCCCCCAACTCTACTCCCCCCACTGCATACCTCCAAACGTTGAAATTTCTCCAAAGTGCTTGAGGCATACAGTAATTATGGGAAGAGAGGTTTTTTGTGTCTCCCCCCCCCCCCCCATCAGCCCTGATAAGGCACCCCTGTGCTATAAAATCTGGCGAAAGGGAGGGGGGAAAAAGAAATATATTTATACATAAAGGTTGATGTGTTTTCAAAATGAGTTTTTGCTTTGTTCCTTTATTTCCCCCCTGGGTGTATTAACCTCAGGGACATTGTCAAGAAAACATAGTCTGCAGGATCACCTGCTGGGGTCAAGAATAATCATTAGTTTTTCGGTCAATGCAGAATAAACCCCCATTTCTCGGCGGCTGTCTCTCGCTCGCTCGCTCGGCTTTACCTCTCTTTTTCTCCCTGAAAAAGCTCACACTTTTCTCTCCTTGCCTGACTTTTCCTTCCAGAGCTATCTGTCTCCAGCTGTGGGGGCGTCAAAGAAGAAGATGAGATCAAGTTGAGGGGAAAAAATTGTCTGATTTCACTAGCCCTTTGTTCGCAGACACTTTCTGCCTTTGGGTTTTGCAGAGGGGGTAAACCTCTTTCAGAGTGTCTTTATCTCAGCTTGGGCAAACTTCAGGCTGTTTGGGAAAATGTGGGCCCGAGAGGAGGGGGCCGGGGTGCGGTTAGGCATGTGTGCAAAGACCTGGGCAGGACAAGCACGGAGGCTTGATGGAGCCCCCATGGGCAAAGAGAGTCTAGCTCAGATCATGCTGGTCAGGGACCATAATAAAGGTAGTATTGTTACTAGCTTGGCATGCCAAGAGTTGGGCTTCAACCAGCAAGGATGGAGCCTTGCCTTCATGTCCAACTGAAGTAGGTCATCTTGGTGAATTAAAGAGTGGTTTTCTCCTTAAAATACAGCCGGTTAAAGGAATGTGCAACTTTTCCAATGCATTGCGTTTGTATCCAGCTTCTCCTCCCGGATCTCAGGGTGGGGGTAGAGTTTCATCCTCACAATGATCCTGCAAGGTAGGCTAGGTTAGGTTGAGAGACAGGGACTGCCTGGAGGTACCAATACGTTTCCATGGCTGAGGGTGACCTTAAATTGGGCTTTTCCTAGCGTAGTTCAACATTTTAATCACTACACCCCACTAGCTCTCCAGGGATGATCTCCAACATCCAGGGAGTCTTTTCTGGGACCTGGAAGAGTTCCATCAAATGCATGACCGTAACATCTTGATGGGGTGAACCCAACTGGATACTCTGATGCCCAGTGATATATGGCTCCTGGTCTAGAGATGTGAAAATTGGGGCAATTTGAGTGGAATTTCCCATCCTCTAAGTGGAAATGAATCTAAATATCTTTATCAGGAAAGCATTGGCCCAAGGCAGTGTTTCTCAGCCTTATCAACTTTAAGATGTGTGGACTTCAACTCCCAGAATTCCCCAGTCAGCATGCCTGGAGATGCATTCACTCCCAGAATTCCCCAGCCAGCATGCTTTAAGATGCGTGGACTTCAACTCCCAGAATTCCCCAGCCAGCATGCCTGAAGATGCATTCACTCCCAGAATTCCCCAGCCAGCATGCTTTAAGATGCGTGGACTTCAACTCCCAGAATTCCCCAGCCAGCATGCCTGAAGATGCATTCACTCCCAGAATTCCCCAGCCAGCATGCTTTAAGATGCGTGGACTTCAACTCCCAGAATTCCCCAGCCAGCATGCCTGAAGATGCATTCACTCCCAGAATTCCCCAGCCAGCATGCTTTAAGATGCGTGGACTTCAACTCCCAGAATTCCCCAGCCAGCATGCCTGAAGATGCATTCACTCCCAGAATTCCCCAGCCAGCATGCTTTGAGATGCGTGGACCATGAGGGCTAGATGCTTGTCACTTCAGTTTCAAGTAGAAATGGGAATGGCTTGAGCCTCAACAGGGGAACTGGGGGAATTCTCCAGGCTTCTCTGCCACCAATCAATAAAATAAAAAGAACTGATCAAAAGTCATCAGTGTCCATCCTTCTTCCACAAAGCGAGACTGACTTTTTCTTTGCACTTTGCTACAGAAAAGAAAACCACCAGCACGCCCTAGAAAAATCTGTAACATTCCAGGGTGTGCGTGCATTGTAACGTCCACCGTTAGCCGTTACGTCTATTGACACGTAAAAGTCTTCAGCTTGGGGGATTTGGCGCAGGGACCACGTTATTTCATCTTCCCTTTCTTTCTTCTTTTTGCAACAGAACCAGCCGCCTCCTGGCATCTACACAAAGACCAGAGATCCTGCTACAGCTCCAGACCTTCCGGACATCTTAGAGATTGAATTCAAGAAAGGTCAGAAGACCAGATTCAAACCCAGCTGGATCAGAACGGGTGCCACTAAGACAGTCGTTGATAAAATCCTATCTAGGGTGAAGGAAGGAATGGTTTTGCTCTACGTGCGTCCCATTTAGAGGCAGTTACCTAGTGGAGTGGGAAGCGATTGAGAAGAAATGGAAGGATGCTCTTTTTAACCCAGTTCACCATTGGCTTGTGGAACTTACTGCCACTAGATGTGGTGGCCCCCAGCTCAGATGGGTTGAAAAGTTGCTGGAAGAAAGGATGGACAAAACAGTTAACTGTAGCTTCTGGTCCTCATGATTCTGTTTTATGTGCTTCTGGCAAACCTTTCTTTAACAGAAAGGAGATAACTTTTAAGAGTCATCCCAAGAACCTGGACGTTTTGTCCTTCTATGTCCCTCTAGAAGAGGTAGTACTGAAAAACACAAACTCTGGTTTCCGTCACATCTTCTCCATCTGTCAAAATCTTTCACTGAGCAGAGGGCTGGGAAACACGCGAGAGTGAACGCTCTGCAAGAAGAAGCTGTTTAAATTATCATGCAATCTGGGGGTTACGTAGTTCTGGCCATCCCACTTGGAGAGATTCCACCTTGATTTTCCTACAGGTCTGTAAGTCTCTGCTTTCAGCATCTCCCTTCCTTGATAGGAGCCCATTTGGAACCCATCAATAACTGGGGGAAAAGACCCAACAGCAGCTTTCCTTCCTTCCTTCCTTCCTTCCTTCCTTCCTTCCTTCCTTCCTTCCTTCCTTCCTTGCAGTGTCCTACTTTTCAGTTCCTTTGGGGTCTTCTTTCTGCTTGCAGGCCTGGAAGATGGGCCACGCCTTGTGATGAGAAATTCAGTCAAATATCCTCAATTGCCTTGAGCTTAATTCCAGTCCACAGAAGAATTGTGCTAGGCACTTAGCCACAGAGTATTTGATAGCGGTGGGAATATTACAACTTCCTTACGGGCTGCCTTAAAAAATGCACTGCTCGTTTTCCAGTGCATGGAAGATCCTCCTTATCTGGTTAAAACAAACACCTGCTCAAACTTCTGCCCATTAATGCTCCTGGTCAGGCTTTGAAGTCTTTTTGAAAATACCGTGATGTTAGTTTTAATTGCAGTTTAATTGAAGGTATGGCTTGCTGCAGAAGAAGATTAAAAATCAGAATGTTGCTTTTTAGTTTTCTTGGCAATTGAGATAGGCCGCGTGCTTCTGATATTCAGGGGGTGAAGTTCTGTTTTAGTGAAATGATCAACCATGGGATTAATGTACAGTTTAAGTTAACCAGGAGTGAGCAGATGACTATCAAGTGATTGATTGATTATCTGCCATCAAGTCATTTTCAACTCCTAGCAACTATATCGATAGATTTTCTCTGTGACGATCTGTCCCTAACCTCTTCTTTCAAGTCTCCAATGGTGTCCCCATCACCACTGTAACTGAGTACATCCTCCTTGCTGCTGGTCGTCCTCTTCTTCTCTTTCTTCCCATTGATTAATTGACTGATTAGGTGCCATTGAATCAGTGTCAACTCTTAGCGACCCCATAGATAGGTTTTCTCCATGAAGACGTCCCCATCCTGATCCTTCAGCTCTTCCAACAGTGCCCCCATCACCACTGTAACTGAGTCCCTCCACCTTGCTGCTGGTTGTCCTCTTCCTCTCTTTCCTTCTCCCTTCCCAGCATCAGAACCTTCTCCCAGAGAGCTGGGTCTTCGCATAATGTGTCTGAAGCAGGATAATTTGAGCCAGGTCATTTGTGCCTCGAGTGAGAATTCTGGGTTGATTTTTCAATGATCCATCGGTTTGTTTTCTTGGCTGTCCATGGTCTTCTCAGGAGTCTTCTCCAACACCAAAGTTCAAGGGTGTCCACATTCTTCCTATCCTGCTTCTCCAAAGTCCAACCTCTGCTTCCATAGAGGGTCACGGGGAATACCGTGGCTTACACGATTCTGATCTTTGTAGGTATAGACACATCGTGGCATCTGAATATCTTTTCCAAGGCCTTCATGGCTGCTCTACCGAGTGCTAATCTGCAGCGTATTTCTTGAGTGCTTGTTCCTTTACTGTTGACATCTGATCCTAGAAGGCAGAAGATCTCCACCACTTCAATATCTTCGTTGCCAATTCTAAGGCTGGTCATTCTACCTGTTGTCATTTGTTTGGTCTTCTTTATATTTAATTTTTCTTCCCACTTTTTCACTGTGCTCTTTGACTTTTAGTACTAGAACTTGCAGATCCTTTACATTTTCAGCTCTCCGGGTCGTGTCATCAACGTAGCGCAGGTTATTGACGTTTCTTCCTCCAATTTTAAAACCACGCTCATCTTCTTCCAACCCGGCTTCCCTTCATATATATTCAGCATATAGGTTGAATAAATAAAGGGAGAGTCTTGTACCTTTACGTTTTTCTTATAATTTCATTTGAGAGGTAGGACCCAGTGCCTGCTTAGAATCAGTTCAATGCTAGATATACGAGACACAGGGTTTGATGTATACTTCTCCACCAGAAATCCCCGCTCGGTCACACTTCAAAACCCACCTGTTCATCTGCAAGAATGTCTGCTAAATTTGTCCAGTCTAAAAGTTTCCAACATACCGGCCTCGCCAAGAACTTACAAGCAGCACTGAATAAAGCCAGAAATAAATTAATTGGTAGAGGAAGGTAAATTCTTCATTTCTCCCCCAGCTAAGCTAACTCAGGAGGGCTTAATCGCTGACGGTGGGTTTTTAGAGACACCCATGTAGGTTTGCTTTGAAACAGGCCCTTTCATCTGATCAGTTACAAATCTAGCAGAGGCATTAGAAGTGCTAAATTGGGGTGTGTTAATGCTAGTTCCCCCCCCCTTTGTGTGTGCAAACTAAGACTTTTGGATCGTTGATGGTGCAAACCCACAAAATGGGTTAATTCAATCCCCAGTTAAGGATCTTGTACACACACACACACATGCATAAACTCTTTCCCCCCCCCCCCCCCCCCCCCCCCCCCCCCCCCCCCCCCCCCCCCCCCCCTCCCCCCCCCT